AGACAACATGAATCTCTTTTCCACACTAGATGTATCTCCCATGGAAAAGTTTGTTCGTTGATTATTGATCGCGGGAGTCACATAAATATTGTTTATGAGGAGATGGTTATTAAACTTGGTTTGTCAACCAATCCATATCCTTACAGCATCAAAGTTTAGGATGATGATGTTTTAGAGGTAACTCGTCAATGCCTAGTATCTTTTTCTATTGGTAAGATCTATAAAGACCAGATTTGGTATGACGTAGTGAAGATGGATGCTTATTACTTGGAAGACCATGGGTGTTTGATAGGTGTGCTAAATATGATGAATACCTTAATACCTATTCTTTTACAAAGGATAAATGTAAGATTATTTTAGTACCATTGAATCCAGAAGAAATTGCTAAACATCTGAAGCTCAATGATGATTCTTTTCTGATCAAATTACAAATAATTGGTCCAATCAATAGAAAAAAGCCTTTGAACGTTAGTCTAATCAAGGAGGAGGAGCATGAAGTGGATCTGCAAGTTGAATATTTACCTCCGAAGTTTGATGATGATCCATTGAGGCATCCCATACGTGAGATTAACTTTTCACCTAATAGAGATGATCAACATAATATTGATTTGATTGTTGACTCTATACTTCCAAATGAGGCAACAAATTGCATTAATCCAGAAGTTCAAGAATTTATGCAAATACGTGAGGAAGAGTTGCTTAAAAAGGAGTACATAAGGGTTTGAGTTCATAATTTGTTCCAGTTTTTTTCTTGCCCCCAAAGGATGAATATTTTCAAGAATATGATGGAACAAGAGATCCCAAACTAACTTCCATCAATTGATATGATCTAGTTAAATATGAGAGTGTTGTTGCTGATGAATTCTCAGAAGATATACTTTGATTTTCAAGATAGATCTAAAGGTACTTGAATTTGATTCTTCTAAGGGTTTTTGTGATACTAAATCGACTTTTTTGGCCATATCCCATAAGCACCACATTGACATGGAGAAGTTCAAGATTCTTGAAGATAAAAAGAAAACAACTTATGATTATGGATTAGTGTTTGAAAATCTATTTAGGAGGATTTATTACAGAAATATTGGTACAAAGTTACTATTGAGAAAGTGAGATTTAGTTCGGCCACATGCTAAGCTTTGTTACAGTAAGATGAAGTTCTTTGACAATTTAGAAAATGCAACTTAGAGCCTGGTGAATATGAGTTCAACCAAATCATGAAAATTGCCAATATTGTGCCATTTGTGGAGCCTTTAGACTCGAGGACAAGTCTTTCTCAACCAGGGGAGAATGATGTAAAAGAAGAATCTATGTTAAATTTTTATTAATTTTGGCCAAGATAAAGTTTTAGAGCTCAAGTCCAAACATATGGACTTATTTTCAAAAAGCGCAAGAAGTCCAAGAAGCTCAAGATTGAATTCAAGAAGCCAAGATTCTTTCCTTCTTGAAGTAGGATTTATTTTATTCCTTTTAGAATGAAGGTTTTCCATTTAGTAGGATTCTAGTTTCTTTTCCTTGTCGAATAGGGATTTTACTTTCCTTGTCTTTAGTTATTTATTTCCTTATTAGAATAGGAATTGTAGCCATCAAAGAAGAGACTCTAGGCCTATATAAAGGGTTCTCTTGCCTTGTAGAATAAAAATTCACATTTCTTAGGCTTGCCCCAATTTTACAATAGAGTATTTTTCTCTATTTTGTCTTCTTTATCCTTGTTTTTTGTTCCAAACAAGGTGGTGATAGTCTTTATCTTGTTTTCAATTGCGTGTGGTGTTTCTTTATCACGTTAATTGATTCCAAGTGGTGACTCTGTGTTTTTGAGGCCTTGAAAACCTTGTTTAGAGTCACCTTGATTTGCATGCGCAGTCCGAGCGCGTAGCCGAAAAGTTTAAATATGAAAATCTGTGAAAATGGTAAAATTTGGCTATAAATTGAGTTAGTTTGACTTTGGTCAACGTTTTGGGTAAACAGACCCGGACTCGTGATTTGACGGTCCCAGAGGGTCCGTAGGAAAATATGGGACTTGGGCGTATGCCCGGAATCGAATTCCGAGGTCCCGAGCCCGAGAAATGAATTTTTAAAGGAAATTATTTAAGGAAATTTAAAATGAAATTTGATTAGAACGTGTTGGTATAGGGCCCGTATTTTGGTTCTGGTGCCCGGTACAGGTCTTATATATGATTTAAGATGTTTCTGTAAAATTGGGTGAAAAATAGACGTCGTTTGACGTGATTCGGACTTAAATTGCTAAATTTGATACTTGATGAAGTTTGAGAAAAATGCTTTGATTTTGAGGGTTAATTTGTTGATAATGATGTTATTTTGGCGATTTGATCGCACAAATAAGTCTGTATGATGTTTTTGAGGTTGTGTGTATATTTGGTTTGGAGCCCCGAGGGCTCGGGTGAGTTTTGGATAGGCCACGGGGTAAAATTTTGGACTTAAGGAATTGCAGGCCTGCAGACCTCACATTTCCCAAACATTTTTCGCAATTACCAGGCCTACTCGCATTTCCCAAACATTCTTCGCAATTCCCAGGTTCGCATTTCCCAAACATTTTTCGCAATTACCAGGCTTGTTCGCATTTCCCAAACTTTCTTCGCAATTCCCAGGTTCGCATGTCCCAAACATTTTTCGCAATTCCCAGGCTTGTTCGCATTTCCCAAACTTTTTTCGCAATTTCCGTGTTCGCAATTCCCAAATTTTTTTTGCAATTCCCACATCTGAGACCTGCAATTTTACACTTAAACAATTTTGAACCCCATTTTCATATTTTCTCAAACCCAAACACACTTAGGCGATTTTCCAAGAACAAGTCTTCTTCCAAATCAATTGTTAGTTAGTTTTTACTCATTTCTTTCAATCATTAACATCTTTTAACATGATTTCAACCTAAAATCAAAGATTTTCATGGGAAAAATTGGGTGTTTTGGGTAGAACCTAGGTTTTTCAAAAATTGGGGATTTGGACCTCAATTTGAGGTCCGATTTCAAAACAAATGATATATTTGAGTTCGTGGGGGAATGGGTAATCGGGTTTTGGTTCGAACCTCGGGTTTTGACCACGTGGGCCCGGGGGCGATTTTTGACTTTTTGGGTAAAACTTTGAAAAACTCATTTTTATGCATTAGGGTTGATTCATTTAGCACTTATTGATGTAATTAAGTAATTTGTGATTAGATACGAGCGAATTGGCGGTGGAATCAAGGGGTAAAGCTATAACTAAGACTTGAGTTGTGTTCAAGGCATCGAAGTAAGTGCTTGGTCTAACCTTAGCTTGAGGGATTAGGAGTTGAGTCCTATTTGCTATGTGATAATTGTTGAGTACGACGTATAGGCATGGTGACGAGTATCTATACGTTGGTGTCAAGTATGACCGTGAGTCTTATATTGTGATTTTCATGATTTCGTTGTGTTCTTCATGCTTTGGTAATGATTTCTAGTTGTTGTGAAAAGTTTGTGGAAAGAATTGAGACCTTTGAACATTTTGGAGCATTGGCTCGAATTATATTATGAATTGTGAAAGTATATGAGATGATTGAACCCTTTGGAGCATTGGCTCAAGTGGTAAAGTGAGTTATGGAGTACAAGTGAAAGATAGAGAAAGAGTTATTGAAATGTTCTCTTGTCGGAATTTAATTATTTACTTGTTGCTCCCTTGCCGGGATTTAATTGTTAAATCGTTGTTCCCTTGCCGGGATTCCTATATGTTCTTGTTTATTTTCCTTGCCCTTGTTTGTGATTGTTGTTTGGGTGAGGAAGAGTGTTAAAGCACGAAGGATGATGTCGTGCATTGTTTGCTATTGTGAGGAAAGAGTGTAAAGCACGAAGGGTGATGCCGTGCCGCACGATGTACCATTCCGTGCCAATTCTATTGATTTTATGTGAGGAAAGAGAGTAAAAGCACGAAGGGTGATGCCGTGCACATTTTATTATTCTAATTGCTTTGGTGAGGAAAGAGAGTAAAAGCACGAAGGGTGATGCCGTGCACGTTTTCATTATATTATTGCTTGGTGAGGACGAGAGTAAAAGCACGAAGGGTGATGCCGTGCACTTGTCTTTGATTTTCCCGATTCTTGCTGATAATTGAGTTATGTTGTCCTTTACTTTTATTTACTGATTTTCTTGTTGTTATCGGTTCAAGTGCATTAATTGTCTTATTCCACTATTACTGTGATTCTTTATGTTGGCATTTTCCCTTATTGTGTTACTTGTTATTATTGGCTCGAGGTATCCTTGCGCAACATTATGCCTTGAATTTATGCTATAATTGCTACATGTTTATGTGACTTAATTGCTACTTGACATTTAGCATACTAAATATTAAATTGCCTATTTGCTCCTTAAAGTCCATAATTAATTGCTACTTGTCATTACTTGATTTCCTCAGTGAGTCATAATTATTGTGTACTTGTTGTCTTATGAATTCGTATTAATTGTTGCGTTTGTTGGAGTAAATTTCATTTGGAAGAACTGTTGATTTAATGAAATAGGAGCGGGTGGTACGCCTACCACGAGATTTAATGAAATGGGAGCGGGTGGTACGCCTACCACGAGATTTAATGAAATGGGAGCGGGTGGTACGCCTACCACGAGATTTAACAAAATGGGAGCGGGTGGTATGCCTACCACGAGATTTAATGAAATGGGAGCGGGTGGTACGCCTACCATGAGATTTAATGAAATGGTATCGGGTTGCACGCCTGCAACGAGTTGTGAACCGAGAGTGAAACCTGCCTTTGTTTTCCTTATCCTTGTTAGAAGTTGTGGTTTCCTGATAATTCTCTTGAGATTCTGTTTCAACTGTTATCTCCCCCCAACATGTTTCCCCCTCCCATCCTTACTTGTTTATTTCTGCTTTACTTTCTGCTGTATATTATATAACTGCACAGGTTTATTTGGTGGTCCGGTCCTAGCCTCGTTACTACTTCGCCGAGGTTAGGCTAGGTACTTACCAGCATATGGGGTCGGTAGTGCTGATACTACACTCTGCGCTCTTTTGCACAGATCCAGGTCCCGGACAGCAGCAGTAGCTCGGGAGCCAGCCTTCAGTCCACCGGGACTCCGAGGTAGCCTTGCACGCGTCCGCACGCCCGACGTCTCCTCTATCTTATATTTCATTTTGTTATCTCATGTTATCGAAACAAACAGTGTTATATTTCTTTCAAACGATTGTATTTAGTACTCTTAGTAGTCCGTGGATGATGTGACACCAGTTCTTGGGTAGAGGCACATGTTGAATTCCGCATTATTGTTTAGCTTATTTAATTTAAGTCTTCCGCTTTATTTTCATATTCCGCTGTCATTTAAATATTTAACGCTTGTTGTTATGATAGATAAAAGGATTTAAAATGAAATAGGTAGGAGTTTATGATTTGTGGCTTGCCTAGCTTCTACGAGTAGGCGCCATCACGACCTCCGAGGGTGGGAAAATTCGGGTCGTGACATGACTTTAGGAACTTGTTTAGTTCTTGATCTTTCAAGAACACGTTTCTTGATCTAAATTCGTTCTTTTGATATCAGAGAATCATAACTATCATTAAACTGGTGCAGCATCGTTATTTACTTGTTTTGAACGAGTAAATAGTCTTTCTTATAGTTCAGATCGTCATCTTTCACTCCGTTTTTGAATCATTAGATTCTGAGTCCTAAAACTTGAACGTTATTTTTTGAAATTGGCCCACAAAACCACGTTTTCATTTCAAGATCTTGATCCTGGTCGATTGGTTCTTTGTTAACTCGAAGAATCACATCACATGCTGAGGCTCAGCTGGACATATATAGGAACTTGATGACAGCGAGGAAGGTTCCTGAGGCCGATTTCGAAGATGTCCGTGTTAAAGCACGTGACGCCAAGCTTGCTTGTGGTTATGACCCCGCTACACCGGGGACGGGTGATGATGAAGAGGACTTGGACGGGCTTGCATCTGATGCGTATGACGATGAGTATCCTGATGGCGGGGGTGATAGTGGAGATGGTGCTACTGGACCGGGCGGTGAAGGTGGCGATGGCGCAGACGGAGATGATGTAGTGTGATACTTTTGTAATTAGTTTTTGCTCTTTTCGTTCTTCTTTTTTTGTGGGAGTGTCTTTCTGGACCTTTGTAAGATATATTTTTTTTTGGAATGGAATGATTATGACTTTGCTGTATGTTCTTGGCCCCTTTTACTTTTCTTTGAATCTTTTTCTTCGTAAGAGTTGTGTTGATACCTGCTATTTCGGACATGGTCGAGTATATCTTTGGTTGCACTTGGGTGAAGTCCTATGTCGTGCTTAATTCGAACGATGTTGTAAATCGAACTTAAGTCGGCATGAGTTCAATTCGAGTGTGACCGAATACGAATTCGAACGAGATCAAATGTTTGATTTATTCGAACGCGACCGAACATTAGTATTCGAATGTGGTCGAATGTTTAATTAATTCAAACGAGGTCGAATGTCAGTTAATTTGAGCGCGATCGAATGTTTAGTTAAGTCAAGCGAGGTCGAATCTGAGTCGATTCGAGCGAGGTCAAGTGTTGACTCAGTTGATTCAAACGATGTTAAATGCGAGTTAATTCGAACGAGGTCGAATGTTAGTTAATTCGAATGAAGTCGAATGTGGATCGATTCGAGCGAGGTCGAATGCTGACTCTCAGTTAATTCGAACGAGGTCGAATGTTAATTAATTCGAATGAAGTCGAATGTTAGTTAATTCGAACGAGGTTGAATGTGAGTCGATTCGAGCGAGGTCGAGTATTGACTAAGTTGATTCGAACGAGGTCGAATACTAATTAATTCGAACGAAGTCGAATGTTAGTTAATTCGAACAAGGTCGAACGTGAGTCAATTCGAGCGAGGTCGAGTGTTGACTCAGTTGATTCGAACGAGTTCGAATGCGAGTTAATTCGAACGAGGTCGAATGTTAATTAACTCGAACAAAGTCGAATATTAGTTAATTCGTACGATGTCGAATGTGAGTCGATTCGAGCGAGGTCGAGTGTTGACTCAGTTGATTCGAACGAGGTCGAATGTTCATTAATTCGAACGAAGTCGAATATTAGTTAATTCGAACGAGGTCGAATGTGAGTCGATTTGAGCAAGGTCGAGTGTGACTCAGTTGATTCGAACGAGGTCGAATGCGAGTTAATTCGAACGAGGTCAAATGTTAATTAATTCGAACAAAGTCGAATGTTAGTTAATTTGAGCGAGGTCGAATGTGAGTCGATTCGAGTGAGGTCGAATGTTGACTTTGAGATTGGTGTAATGTATAAACTTGGTAAGGAAATGAGAAGCTCGTGTGTTTGTGTATTTCACTTTGTTTATACATTCATTGGAGAACATTACATGTTTTGCTCTGTTCATGCATACATTGAGAAGTCCCAGTCTATCTAGTCTCTTCATTGGTCGACCTGGGGAAGTAGTTGAGAGGTCGAGCGATGAACTTATACTTAACTTCGAGACACCCTCTTCGTCGCCTCGTTAAAAACCTCCCCGAGAAAACCCAATTGGGACAAAACTCGGGTGAGGGAAAAAGAGTACGACTCGGGAGACGTCTATCCTTAGAAGTTGAAGTATTTGAGGTGGGAAACATTCCAATTGTTTGGTAGTAGTTTTCCCTCCATTATTTCTAGCTGGAACGACCCTTTGCTTACTGTCGCCGTGATTTTATATGGGCCATCCCAATTGGTTCCCAGTTTGCCTTCCCATGGATCCTTGCTTGCTTGTGTTTTGGCTTTGAGTAAAATAGTCCCCGACTTTGAGTGGCCTTACCTTGGTTTTTTTGTTGTAGTACCGATTTTCCTATTGTTTTTGGGCTACCATTCTTATGTAGGCCATGTCTCTTCGCTCTTCGGCCTCGTCGAGGTCTTGCCTTCTGCTTTCATCGTTGCTTGGCCCGCTCTCATTTGAATACCTTAGACTTGGTTCACCGACTTCGACCGATATTACTACATCAGTCCTATAGACTAGTGAATATGGTGTTTCTCCTGTGCTTGTTTTTGGCGTTGTGCGGTATGCCCATAGCACTTCCGGCAGCAATTCCAGCCACATTCCCTTGGCGTTCTCGAGCTTCTTTTTCATGATGTTCAATATTGATTTGTTAGAGGACTCCGCCTGATCGTTGCCCGCAGGATGGTATGGCGTGGAGAGTATTCTTTTGATGTGCCATTTTTCAAAGAACTCGGAGATCTTTTTCCAAGTGAACTGGGGCCCGTTGTCATAACTAATTTCTTTAGGGATGCCGAAGCGACATATGATGTTTGTCCATATGAATGTGATCTCTTCTCGCTTACGTATTTGGGCAAATGCACCTGCTTCTATCCACTTGGAAAAATAGTCAGTTAAAACTAAAAGAAACCGTACATTACCTCATCCCGCTGGGAGGGGTCCGACGATGTCCATTTCCCATTTGATGAAAGGCCAGGGCAAGGTGACTGAGTGGAGGTGCTCGCCCGCTTGGTGAATCATGGGGCATATTTTTGGCATTGCTCGCACTTTCTGACGAAGTCGGCGGCCTCCTTTTTCATCGTGGGCCAATAGTAGCCTGCTCGTATGAGGCATCTAATGAGAGCTCGATTGCCGGTATGAGCTGCCAAATGTTCTTTTGTACAAGTCGTTATTGATGACGTTGTACCTGGACGCCTGCATTCGAAGCTTCTTGGCTTCTTTTTTATCGGGTGGGAGCACCTCATCCTGCAAATATGAGATAATACGATTGCGCCAGTCCCAAGTCAAGTTTATAGTTCGTACCTCGATTTGATCTATCGATGAATGGAGGAGAGTGACAACATCCCCCTCTCCGGTTATGCTTTTGGTGGCCATTGCTAGTTTAGCGAGGCCGTCCGCTTCGATGTTCTGCACTCGGGGTATTTGATCGAGCTGGCATTCGTCGAACTCGGGTAATAGTTTGCAAATTCCGGCCTGGTATTTCTGTAGCTATTGCTCCTTAATTTGGAAAGTTCCTGTAACTTGGTTGACGATGAGTTGTGAGTCACATCGCAGGACTACTCGCCGTGCTCCGTACCTGAGTGCTAATTTTAACCCTGCAATCACGGCCTCATACTCAGCCTCATTGTTAGTCATATCAGTGCATCGTATAGATTGGAAAACTATTTCGCCTGTTGGGAGCTCGAGCACGAGTCCCAGTCCAGATCCTAATGCGTTAGAAGCTCCATCACTGTACAGAACCCATTGGTCATGCATTTTGGCGGAAGTACTGGCGGTTTCCCTTTCGACTTCGGGCATTATCTTCGCACTGAAGTCGCTGACGAAGTCGACAATAACTTGCGACTTTATCGCCGTTCGCGGCTGATAAGTTATATCGTGCTCGCTCAGCTCTATGGCCTACATGGCCAATCTGCCCGATAGTTCGGGTCTGTGCAGGATACTCCTTAGAGGAAAAGTTGTGACCACCGAGATGGGGTGGTACTGGAAATAAGGTCTAAGCTTTCGTGAAGCTATGACCAAGGCCAGAGCTAGCTTCTCGAGGTGGGTCGTTTCAGCGTCGACCAAAGTTTTGCTAATGTAGTCAATTGGAGACTACATACCTTTATTTTCTCGTACCAGGACTGCACTTATTGTGACATCGGACACGGCCAGGTAGACAAGGAGACGCTCCTCGGGCTCTGTCTTAGCGAGCAACAATGGCGAAGATAGGTAGGCCTTTAGTTCTTTTAAGGCATCGACGCACTCGGAATTCCATTGGAGTCTGTTATCCTTTTTGAGTACGCTGAAAAATTTGTGGCACCTATCGGAGGACCGCGAGATGAACCTCGACAGGGCGGCTATCCGACCGATCAACTTTTGCACTTGTTTCTTGCTGGTTAAATTTTCTGGGATTCCTTGTACGACCTTGATTTGTTCATGATTGACCTTGATGCCTCGTTGTGATACCAAGAAGCCGAGGAACTTTCTAGAGGTTACGCTGAAGGCGCATTTTTTGGGGTTCAATTTCATGCCGTACCGTTTGAGTATGTCAGGCTTCCCTCAAGTGGTCGACATGGTCTTCCTTCCTTTTTTATTTGACCAACATGTCGTCTATATATACTTCCATGATCTTGTCG